TTGAGCGAGGCGATTGCATAATTGACAATTTCTGAATAGAGACTTGTTTAATTAATAGTTTAATTCAGACTCGCTTGATTCAAGTTTAGTAGATGCTACACGACCTCATTATCCGGCCAAGTAAGCTTTCAAAGGCGAGTAACTCGGCGGCAGGGAAAATCGTATGAAAAATAAATCGAAAGAAGATTTTGGAAATAGCAATAAATTGCCAATTACGCAAGGAGCGTGCATATCTCGTGTGTGTCGCAAAGCGTGAGTGAAAATCACGCTGCGCTCGCCGCTCATGCCACGCAAAGCGAAAATAAGACGAGCAGAAACTCGTATTCTCTTGCGGAACCTAACGGGAACACGGAATGAAGGATGTACCAGGCACAGGATGAGAGAAGGTCTCCCCGGAAGAGACATTATAAAAGGAACAAATGGAAATAGGCATAGGAGCAATTTTCTTCCTTCAAATTTTTTTAGAGGAGATGTTTTAACAACTTCGAAATTATACTTGTGCACTGAGAAAACTTTCCACCGGGTAAACCAATTAAATAATCATGTCCATGGTTACTTTTTTCCGATTAAATTATGTATATACTCGATGAAATTTATCCGATGAAATACAGTTACCGACGTTTGATCGAAAAACCCGATCACATTTTTTACTGGATATGCAATTTAATCGGACACATCCGTTTGTTATTATGTAATTGGATTATCCGATTGTATTTAGTTGGATATTATCAAAATCTTCGTACAACAATGTGTATACGGAGACTTGGATTGTAAGAAAGCCCTCTCTGCTTGTTAACTGCAGAAATTTCAACGCCGGAACATGGTTGGAGAGTTTAATGCTGGATAGCGCCGCATTTTATGCTTCCTTTGTTTTTCTCTTATGACAGGAAATTAAAGGAGGATTATTTAACAAGCACTTCTGCATGTTGATGATGCACTATGCGTTATTTTGATGTATGTGCATACATACATGTGTAAATTATATTTTTTATATATATTATTATATACTAGTATATACTCTCTTACGAAATTCCCTACAATCACAATCTCGAAAATACCATTTCCACGGTTGCTTGAAATAACAAGCTTTTACACAGGCGTGTTAGGATAAACTAATGGGCGATAGTGAAGCTAATCGAAGTGATGCGTATATAACTGTGCTGTGCAACCTGTCCTCTATCACTTGTTCCACTGACCCACTGCACTTCGGCCTCCGTTATGTTGCACATGGTATTTAACATAGCGTACGTGTATATACAAGATATTTTATTTCATATCTTTCATATCGAATTATTTCGACGATGCCCATCGATGTCGTCCTGCTGTTATTTGCTATCAAGAGCGGTAATTTTCTAGTAATAGAGATACATCGTCGTTCTTGGTGTTTCACGAAAGAAACAGTAACAATAAAGTAATAAAAGTATTCCAGAAAAAATGTTGTCACATATGTGACTGTCTATTCGTAGAGAAAATAATTAATAGAAATTTAATCGTCAGTCTTAGCGCTGAGATATTGAATCGTCAATCCCTCGGTCACTACAACTTTTATAATCAGTTAAAGGCAACTTTTGAACCAATTATGTTTGTGCCGTACTATTAAACTTTTAGCTCGCGTGACGTCAGTATCTGTGATACCGTTACAAACGCACGTTTGTTAATGTGCAAATATTGATGTTGATTTCCGCTTTTAAAATGCTCGTGCAAACATGCCAGCAGCATCGTTTTCTGGTGTTTAAAGCGTTACGATCTTTACAATCATTTTTAATGATAAAACATTCATATTCATAGAGCGCAAATAGAACAATAACGAACATCACGCATTCTGACGTGCAATGTTTAGCTGACCTAATAACAGTTTTAATTCATAACTACCGTGTAATTGCTACTTTCCTCGAAATGCTGAAATTTAATTAGCTATATTATCGACACGCCTTGATCACTAGCTACGATATTAAACTGCAAATTGTAACGGCTAGAATCAGGTTTTTCATACATCGTCCTGTTATTTGCTATCAAGAGATTCGTGAAAAATGTGAAAAGCAGTCATTTTCTAGTAATAGAGATACATCGTCGTTCTTCATGTTTCACGAAAGTAAAAGTAACAATAAAGTAATAAAAGTATTCCAGAAAAAATGTTGCCACATATGGTATGCACACAGTTGGAAAATTTGTGTTTTCTTGTTAAAAAAAGATGCCGGTTAAAATTTTTGTGTTAAATGTTTAACACAATCACGTGCTAATTTAACATATTGCTCTTGTGGTAATTGATCTCAAATGTAAAATTATTAAAATAACTGAAAAGAAATGTTAAAACAACACAATGTGTACTTATTTTTAAACTGACACAATACATGTGTTCGATATTATTAGTAACAACATTTCTCTGTTAAAATTTACAGAATAAAATGCTGGTTTTATTCTATATAACATAAGTGAGAGTGATTGCAAACCGTCATTTGACTTATTACATCTGTAAAATGTAGAAATTACATTTTTTTATTTATTTTGTCATTAAAAATGTGTTAATTTTACAGAAAATTTATTTTAAACTATTTTAAGATTTGCATTTATTTTGTGTTAAAATATTAACAGAGTATTAGTGTAATCATTTAACATATCCATATTATGTTAAATTAACAGAAAAATTTGTGGACCGTTTGGTACATGCGATATCTGTTAAATTTAACACAAATTTTTCAACTGTGTACATATGTTATCTACACATCTTTTCTTTTAAGAAGCTACAAGAGGAGATGTCTAATTAAATTTTTACGAAGACAAAGTAAATGCGACTAAAGGTTCTAAATATTTTTGTTAAAGTCAGCAGCAATAATTGAAAGACATATTTACATACTGTTCCAGTACCATTTTGAAATTTCCAGTGATTCCATGCAGTCTACAATGTAGCAATAACTTAGAATGAGATTTGTATATGATTTCAAATTTTTTTCCACACTCATCAACTTTTAAAAAAATTTCAAGCACACTTTTTTAAACAAAAAATACATTTTACATACATCGTATTACACTCATTTTGTAATTAAAGAGATATTATCTTTTCATGTTAATTAAGCAAATATATTGATAAGCGCTTTTGACATAAAACAAAAAACTTTTATACATAAGTATATCTGAAATAGATGCTCGTTATAAGTTACGAGATTCAGCGTAAACAGTTCGAACGTCAGAAGCAAATTAATTGTCTAGAAGATGACGCGATAATCATAAAAAATGTAATGATATTACACGCAAAAAGATGAGTCTATCAGTCACTTTTTATTGGTGCGGCTTTACGAGGATTGAACGTGAAACCTAGCAAGAGCTATCGCGACCCTAATCGACTGCGCACTACAGCACGAATTACCACGAATCTAGCGATCAGCAACTAACTCTCTCTCTGGTTTAGTTTGTCAAGATAACAAGAATATTTCGACCACGTAACGAGAATTGACTGGTCGACCTTGTACGCAACTTTAATTATGCACGCTCTTTAAATGTGGTGAGAGTTGCGGTTTGATACGGCGGCTCTCACTTTGATACCTGTTATTCGTAAACGGTAATCGTTGATATAAGGTGGTTGCATTGCTTTTTAGCTGAAAGAAAAGTCGTATTGTTTTGACACTGAGCAGCGCGTGTTACAAGTATCTGACATTGAGAAAAATTAAACATAAAAAATTAAGAATAATCATTTTTTTATCCAGATGTAACATTTATAAGAAAATTAGTAGATAACAGTAAATAGATAGCCGTATGTATATGTGAGTATGCATTTCAGTAAATTTTAATTAGACTCGGAATTAATGAAACTTTTTGCGTTTATCATGTAACAACATTCAATATTAAAAAGTAAAATAGAAATATAAAATTTTATATATTATTATATCTTTGTTTCATTTTTAAAACTGTATTATTAGAAAGTTTATAGCTAAATGCAAATAGCAAATAATTTTTATAACATTTTGTATTTTCATTTCATACATATGCATGTAATATTGAAACGGAAATTTCATTCATATTCTAAATATGGACAAGAAAATAGCTGCGTAATCGATTTTATAAAATATAATACACTTTTTACAAAGTCTGGCAGCAGAGAGGGGGAGAAGGAGGAAAAGGAGATATAAAATTGGAATAAACTGTCTGTTGTAACAAAATCAAGGGCAGCATACAATTTTAGTATTTTTGAAGATTTTGTAAATTATTGTAAAATAATAAATGAACTTGCATATCTTCGAAGCACCCGGTATGCACTTTAATGATTCTCACCGTGAAGAAACTGTTTGTCATATACCTACACTGTATTCCTTTGACGATTTACGTGACTTGCATGTTCAAGCGATACGTTATTAGCAGAATACCTCATACAGATCAATTAACGCTAAATCGACTACTCTTTCAAATAATGACTAATTAAGGAAAGTGTCGAGTGAACAATGGCAATTTACTACTCATGCTGTAATATTGTTCCGGTCTGGTTGCCGGCACGAGTCCGCAAGCTTCTAATAACGTATTATCATTAGTTGCGGTAGAAAATTGCAGTTAAGAATCGCGGTTTAGTACGGATTAATCGGATTACGCAAGAGTAAAGCTTGTCGTCCGCTTAACATTTACTTTTCAAGATTAAGTTCAAACAGTTAATGCATTAAATGAGCAACGTAATAAAAAAAAAAAGAACCAAACAACATATGGAAAACGGCTAATGCGGGTCAAAGGCAACATGTAGGTAGCCTATACTTGTAATTCATTGAAATGTGAATTCATGTACCGTTTCCTTCCACCTTTGTCCTGCGCGCCGGTTTCTTGTCGGACATAACGCGGGTTTCTTACGGGTGGAGTTATTAATAAAAATATAATAAAAACACAACGGTGTCCACGAATCGAGATAGAAACATAAGAATTGCGTAGAAAGCAGAAAAATTCCTGAGCGCGATAAGTTTCTGCCTTAAATGTAAAACTTATTAGAGCAGTTTATTGTTGAATAATAGTTGATAGTTACTCACCATGTCTGAGTTTTCCCTTTCTGGAGATTATCAAGGATAACGGCCTCGGCACCTTTTCGGTACAAATATTGTCACTGGTGTGATCTGTCACGCCGAAGAGGGCGTTTCTGCCGACTTTCATGTACTGCCTGCCCATCACCTTCGGGGACCTCGTCCCGAACAAGGACGCAATGAACTTCATCTTCGTTGCCTTCGATCTTGTATCACGGTTAAGAAAGAAAATAATCTCGTTGATCGATAAATAACAATCGATTGCACTCGACGTAACGCTAATAAGACAATTGATAAGTATCAATTACTTGAGCCGAATATATTTTTCATAAATAATGTTTGTCGAAAAAGTTCTGTGTTTCGATCGCACTTTTATTCGGGCCGGGGGTGCACGATAGTCTTCAAACGGCCGATTGCTGATGAACGAGACCGTCGATCATCAGCCGAATGAAAGTGGAATAAAAGAAGATTAGATAATCCGCCAGAAATAACTAATTGCTATAAGTTTTAATTGGCGGTTGTAAGCACGTTGACCCAGAATGAGTGTTGCGTGTACAGGAGGTCATCATCAGCATCGTTATCATCATCATCATCATCATAATCATTATCATCTACCGTCACTACACTGGGCATTGTTTTCGCGGTGAGCACACATCTGCATCATCATTATCGTCGTCGTTATCATCACTACTGCCTCATCCTCGTGTCCCCCGCCGTCGTTGCGTCGATATCGCGGTTTCGACAGGTACCACCGCACCACGTGTTCCTTGCGTTCGTATTACGCACTGCACTTTCACACCTGGTCCAGGCAAGACGCACGTTCCCTCAGCTTCACTTTCACTCCTCGCAGTCCCGTCGTTGGTCCCTCATGCTTGGCTTTTGCCTGAAATGCAAAACCAAATCGAAATTAAAAAGGGAAAGGAGGAGGCAAAAAAATAACTAGCCGGCCCGACGCGTCTCGCAATGGAACCTTTGTCACTGGACATGCGTTACGTAAATGTCAAGTATGCATTTATGCGAAGATTATTTCCAGCGCGATGCAAGTGTTAATATTAAAGTTACTCGATCAAAGTTACAGGGAAACTATCGAATTTGTATCTGCGCAAATAATAACTAATAACTTCTAGCCGCGCCTTTTCTGCGGATAGCGTAAAATCAGTATCCCATTGCTCCGGGACAAGAGTGGAATTATCTCTTTAAATTATGTGTTAAATCATCATTTAAATTAGAAATTTCGTGCGAAATTGTCTTACATTCCATTAAACATATTATTTTACACTTATTATTATTATTATTTTATGTTTTAGGAATATTATTTTCACACATATTTTTCCACTTTGTACACTTTAATAATGTCAAGGTGCAAACTGTGAATTCATTCAAGTGTTTATTATACGAAAATGAGATACAATGGTGTTAATATGATGTAGATATTGAGTGAATGAATATTAATTAACAAAAAAAATTTACTCTGCTTAGTTGTACATCCATGTGACGCAACGGAACTTTTGTCAAAGTGCAAACTGTAATTTCATTCAAGTGTTTATTATACAAAATGAGATACAATGGTGTTAACATGATGTAAATATTGAGTGAATGAAAATTAATTAACAAAAAAAATGTACTCTGCTTAGTTGTATATCCATGTCTCGCAACGGAACTTTTGTTATTGGACATGCGTTACGTAAATGTCAAGTATGCAGTTATGCGAAGATTATTTCCAGCGCGATGCAAGTGTTAATATTAAAGTTACTCGATCAAAGTTACAGGGAAATTATCGAATTTGTATCTTTGCGCAAATAATAACTAATAACTTCTAGCCGCGCCTTTTCTGCGGATAAAGTCAGTATCCTATTGCTACGAGACAAGAGTGAAATTATCTCTTTAAATTATGTGTTAAATCATCATTTAAATTAGAAATTTTGTGCTAAATTGTCTTACATTCTATTAAGTATATTATTTTACATTTATTATTAATATTTTATGTTTTAGGAATTATTTTCACACATATTTTTCCACTTTGTACACTTTAATAATGTCAAGGTGCAAACTGTAACTTCATTCAAGTGTTTATTATACGAAAATGAGATACAATGGTGTCAATATGATGTAAATATTGAGTGAATGAATATTAATTAACAAAAAAAATTTACTCTGCTTAGTTGTATATCCATGTGACGTAAAAACTCAATAGCGAAGATCATAAGCTAAAATACACCCTGCGTGAACGCATACAAGTGGAATCAGTAGAGAGAGGAGCGGAATAATTATTACTCTCATAAGACTATTTATGTGTACTAGTATACCTACATTTAAATGCACACATATTGAATATTTGATTAGTCTGAACGTAACTGTTTAACTACTCTGAAATATTTGACTGCATTAACCACAAATTATCCTTTTCGCTCTAAGCTGATACCAATAGCATATACGGCATATATTAAATATTTGGCTACATTAACTACAGATTGTCTTTCCCGCTCTAAGCTGATACCAGTAATATATATGGCAATCCAGTCTGGCGATATGATTGTGAATGTACTTGGGGAACACTACATGAAACATTGGAAATATGAATGCATGCATGATTATTGTATCACAATACACCTACATTTGTCAAATCATATTAATCCGATTTCTATTACTTAAAGTTTCCTTTAAAAGACCCAATTATTTTATTTAAGATTATTGTCTAAAATATCCCCCACTGTATCTCATAAGGAAACCAATAATGAATTTAAAAAATATATAAAAGGAGTTATTTCTTAAAAATAATATGCCGCTATATCACAGATATATCACAGTTTAAGATTATAATGCATTAATCACTGTGCGATACATAAATGACACGTTATATTAAATGACACCTGCTGAAGCAGTCAATTAAGCAATTATATTGCTGACGCACGGAATTGTCGTAAATGCCGCCGTTTTACTCATTATGATCATTTTGTTTAGAAAATACATCGTAATCGACCGATTGCCACAACCATAGTAATGAGAAAAAATGAAAGAGCTACGTCAACGTTGCAAAAAAAATTGTTGCAATAAATAAGTTAATATTGCAATACTAAATGTACATATTTGCAAACGTAAACGCCAGAATAATCGAGAAATATGATTTCACGCAGATCAGTTGTTTTTTTTTGTCATTTTGCTCGCTGATATGTTGCTGAATTAAATTTACGACTTAAAAAAAATTCGAATCAGATATTAAGTTATTAATTTTTTCAAGGATTCGTTTGAGGTCTCGCCAAACCCAGATTTATCGCATGACATCAGTACAGATACCTATTTTTATAAATTTATCTGATCTAGGATCATTGATATGTAATTTGAATATGCGAATTATTAGTGAGCAAGAGGATTAAACATGTAAAATGTATTCCGCAGCATTTATCATGTATAATTTTGCGAAAACCCGGCGAGAATGGGCAAAAGAATATGCTAAAAAAAATGTTAAGTATAAAATAAATTCATCTTTCGACAGCATATGTTATAAACATGAAAGTTTAATAAGAATTGATGTCATAATAGGAATAACCGGAAACGAAGTTGAGTTATATCACGATGCTCATCAATACTTTCCCCATTAGATTTGTCTATCATCCTCGTATAAAGAGACTCACGTTTACTTATTATATTTTTCATGACGTCGATATTATATGATGTATCTGCCCGTCATCTTCCCAGAAGGTTACCTTACTTCAAAGACACTAACTCTTTTTTCATGCATATGCATTCTTCTCGTATTCATTGTGTTTACGGGAACGAAAAATTCGCAAAACCAAATATCTTCGCCTTCTTTAAAAAAATTTCAGGCGTATACCCGGGTTAATATCATTTAAAAATATTTATTATGTCCTTAGATTTCAATATTTCGTACTTTGTTACTGCTTTACGTCGGTTTCACAGTGTCATCATCTATACTTGCTATATTTTTCTCACGCAAGAGAACAAACTAGTATAACGACTATTTTACTAGAGAAAGCTAAAGTAATATCTGGAAATCCTGTTATATCGCTTTCTCGCTCTTTTTACATCGAAGAAATAAAGATAACTGTAATTTTACAAAAGATTAACATACGTATTGGACGAAGTATAGAGCAGATTCTGTTTTAGTTTATTTTTTAATTTCGATATTCTAAGTTAAAATAAAATTGGTATTAACTTTTTTCTATCAACCTCGTAAATCAAATGTAGAAAAAACCATAGGCGTGACGAGATATTGCGAAATAAAAGTATACTCCTTCAGGGCATGAAACGTCATTCGCTTTAAAATATCAATAACCTGATTCCGCACACTTTGTACCACAGACTGTCCGGCAGGCGTTGAATTCGTTTTTTCTCAGTGGGAAAATTTGATTGAGTATTCTTGCCCTTTGTAGGCTTTTAAGTTTTAATTATCAATCACTTTAATTACGGAAATGTAAACGCAAAACGTAAAGAAGGAATTCTGAAAGAAACAAAGGCGTTTTTTTTTTAATATTGTCGAACCGACAGAGTGCACTTAAATTTATTAGCGTGTACGTCTTAAATTTCCTCGACAAGTGAGTCTTACAGTAAATACGCTGACGCAGGTGTAGCCGTCATCGTAAATAAATGAGTGAAGAAGCTTCCAAGAACATGGACAGTGATTTCTGAAAATGCATCGAGACAGAAGTTGGCACTAGCAAATACTTCTTTATTAGCTTGACACTGAGAGAGCGCATTTCTTTCTCGCCTTTGAAATTGAATCTCGCCAAGTGAGTGATATCGCGATGATATAATTAGATGTTATCGTGACATTTGACACGAACTCAGCGAGCGTACAAAGGCGCCTAAATTGCAGCTCCGTTTACTAAGCACCATAAATTAAGGGAGAGTTACGCAGAATTACGCTTCAAGGCCTCCAAAGGTAGTTAATGGTCACGCACGTCTGCCGTAAATGCGAACTGCGCCGGAATGTTTCGGCTGCATTCGCATAAATCTGCCCATTCTTTCTCTCTTTCTCTTGAGAATCGTATACGTGCACGCACCTTACGCGCGGGAAAAAATGATATACACGAGCGCAACTTACCAGGACTTTCTGTCTCGTGTCTACAAGGGCGATCGAGAACGGGATTTTCGCGCCACTGTCTCTTATTGCTTAATGCGCTGTTACAAAAACCCGTGCATTATTCAGCTGGTCTTGCCGCTTTCGCAGTTTAGCGAAAACGCGCCAGTAATGGTCGGTAAGTTTCGATTGTATCTACGCGTTGCTCTGCCTTCACGCTACACTGTAATTTTTGTATCACGACCGGCATTGTGCCGCGGGCAAGGATGATACGAGAAATATAGGACAGTATCATGTCGTCTGCTGAAAGAACTCGCTGTTACAAATGAGTACCGTAGGAGGAGACACGCGTGAACAATTTGCCGCGAATCGTACGAGAAGTCGCGTGATTCGTTCCGTTAAATTCAAATGCGATGCGTTTTTCATGCGCTTAACATACCGTCACGGCTGTCATATATAACCCACAATTGCATAGCAAAACAACGATATCTTGCGGCGGCGTTTGCGGTTTGCAAGTAGCTGATTAAGCTTACGTTTCCGCCTATCACCGCCGGACATAATTTACGCGCCGGTTGTATATGCGCTGTTAATTGTCGATCTCGTTACCGATCGCGCATGTGATATTCAACATTGAACTATGTCATCAATGCGACTTTCGATCAAGGTGCAAGGAACAAGGTGGTATCTCATTAAGTGTTACACCAGGAGAATGTTAACATCTATTTCTAGAAAGTGAAACGAGCCGGAATTTCTAGCATTAGCAAAAGGTTCATTGAACGTTCGGGGAACGCCCATGGCGTGCGAACCCCCAATCCTCAGGCTCTCCTACGGGTTAAGGTTCCAAC